AATGACTTTCCCAGCACGATTACGTCATCGAGGTACAGCAACGCTGTGGGACCTATCAACCCCGATAATACACTCATCATTAGCCTACTGAACACAGCAGGTGCTGACTTCAACCCGAAAGGAAGTCGTTTATATTGCCAGAGCTCGTTGCACGCACTAAACGCTGTGATTTCCCTCGACTCTTCCTCCAGCGGTATCTGGTGATACCCACTGAGTAGGTCTAATGTGGTAAAATATTGTGTACCCTTCAAGTGTGTCAATGTGTCCTGTATGTTAGGTAATGGGTATGCTTCGTCTTTCGTCAGCTTGTTTATTCTGCGGAAATCTACGCATAACCTCACTCCCCCATTCTTTTTCCTGACTACTACGAGAGGGCTGTGCCACGGTGAACTGGATGGTTCAATGATATCATGCTCCCTTAGCTGGCTTATCTCCTCTTTCACCTCCCTCTGGTGTGCCACTGGTATGCTATATGCTCTCGTATATACTGGATGTGCGCCCTCTACGTCAATTCTATGTGCTCCTTGAGTAATGCACCCTGGGGGTTCCCCTCTCAACGCAAAAACATCCGGGAACTCCCTGACTAAGCCCCTTAAGGCTTCCTTAACCTCCCTTTCCATGGACATCCTATCCACTATTCCCATTAATTTATCCATTCTATCCTCATCGCCCTCACTCTGACTTACTGACATGGCTGCAATAATCTCCTCCACAGGGTGCCCCCACGCTACCTGTGTATGCCTACTCAAGGTGACTGGCCACCGAGAGGGATTAAAAACCCTCAAACGAATTACCCCTTCATTTATGTCTTCAATAGTCTCCATTATCACCAACCCTGCTGGATTATCCAATGGCTCAATTTGCACAACGTCTACTCCCTTGGCTTTACATGCCATTTTAATCACTAAGGATGCTTCTCCCGGAATGGTGACATCCTTGGGTACCGTGACTGCCCACTGTATATTCTGGTCCCCAGCCGAGTTACCACAGTTACCCCTCACTACTGCTACTCCTTCTCTACTCCTCACCTTGTTAACGTCTACCGCTTGACCCCCACATACCAATTTATTCCCCCTTGCGCTGAACGCTATGGTACATGAGTATTTTTCGAGGAAATCAATTCCCAAGATAATGTTGGTATGTTTCAGCCCTATATCCTGTATTACTACAAAACTATGTTTAAACCATCTATCTTCTAGCTGGAAATCCACAGTTGTCTCACCCAACACCCGCAACGCATTATCCCCCACCGCCGTTAATCTCCTGTTGTTAGGTATCAGCCTGACGTCTGATCCTAACACGCTACGACTCATGATGGACACGGAAGCACCGGTGTCCACCAAGGCTGTATAGATAGTGCCCTTTAACCGTAAATGCACCTTTATGGGATGACCCGACCCGACGGTACACAACCACTGTCCGCCACCCCCTACTGTACACACTGGGTAATTAGGCGGAACAAAAAGCTTACACTGCCAGGCCAAGTGACTACCGTCACCACACAGCTTACACACTTTTGTCTGCTTAGGTCGTTCTGGCTCGTGTTTACCTGCAGTGTACCCCGTTCCCCGGGGATACCCTCTACCGGTACCCTGGTTCTGGTGGTACATTCCTGTTGCTCCCTGAGCAGGCGAGTATCGTGGTGGAGCAGGAGTGAACCTGCCTCCACGTGCCCCTTGATTATAGCCTCCTCGCTGCCCACGAGTACCCTGATGGGGTCCCCACGACACCCCACTCGTATTGTGTCCCTGGAACACCCTTGGCTCCCAGCCCTTATTATTGTTACGTCGAGGAGCACCTCGCCCCTTGCCCTTGGAATGTGTGACCCCCGCCGCGGGTCCATCCTCCACTGGCTGAGCTACTGGGGCCCAGAGCTGAGCCTGTCTCTCTTGCGTGTCTGCAAGATTTGCCTGTTCCTTAGGGGACACTTCTTTGAAAATGTCATCCTCTGTCAGTTTATGTGTCGGGCTATTCTCCGCCCAAAACACTGCATGTTTCACCGCTTCCTTAAAAGACTTAGCTTCCCTGCAGTGTAACGCACTTTCCCGCGGTAATGCACCGAAAAAAACACTCCGTTGCATAGAATCTCTTACTACCCCCGTGAACTGCGTTTCCGTCCGCTCAATCACATCACCCAAGAGTCTTATTCTATGGCCAAACGCCCTTAATTGTTCCCCTGGTTCTCGTTTAAGTGCAGCTAACTGAGCCTTTAGTTCTACTGCATCGTGCTGCACATCGTAATGATCTATCAGTTCCTGCTTAAACTCGCTATAACTATTTATTTCTCTAATTTCCGCCGAGTTGAGCAGGGTCTTTGCTTCCCCTTTCACCTTGGAATATGCCAATGCAATCTTTGCCTGATCCGACCATGACCCCACACTAGTCGCCTTCTCTAGAGCAAAGAAAAATGTTCTAATATCCGTCAGTAACTGACCTTTCGAATCCCGTTTGGCGCCCCAAAACGTGGGTATGTCTCCATATACCTTAGGTCCTGCGTTAGTCGTCTCATGCGTGCTCAACACATTTTTCAACCACTGTGCAACCTGCCCAATTGTCTCTGACGCTGCCGCCTGCGCCGTAAGCAACGCCGCCGTGTTATCACCACTCTCACCCTGACCGACATTACTCGTGGCCTGGCCACTGGCGCCCCTATTACTACCCGTACCCGTCATGGCTACTCGCCCCTTATGTGCTCGTGTATGAACCAGCTTGACGCTTTACCGTACAGTAACCTTACTTGGCCTTATTCCCTTAATCTCACTAGAATCACTTATAATTTTAAGCCTCCATTAACAACGTCACTTATCAGTTATCCACACTACTGTTTCCACCCCTTAGGGGACCTTTCCCTGCCGCACAACGTGGCCACTCCACTTGGCCACACACCTTGGCCCCACACCCCACTATGGCCACTTACTGGCCCACACACCTTCCCTTCCTCACTCCAATATCCACCGTCCTGAACACAACCCAACGTCTACCAATTCCCGAACATTCCCTCACCAACTAAACCAGTAACACACTTCCTTCATCTCTCAAAGTGTTCCAAACCTGTTTGCGCTGCCACCAAATATGTCGTGACGCTGAACCCCGGTTCATTCCGAACACAGCGATTACACAACACATAACACCTTGCCTCAGCAACCGTTACTACCACCGTGTACTCCTACACACACCAGACCCTTGAGGCGTACCACTAGGTTTGTACTGGAACACAATGAATGAACATACGGAAGGTATTTAAAGGCCGTCGGATTTTGTCATTTAATTACAAAGAATAGACTCTGACAAATAATACTATATTAATTAACATACTCTATTAGGTCAATACACTTCCAATACCCATAGACCACTTGACCTCCGCGATCACCACCCACACTCGTAACTTCCGCCTAAGTCCCTAATACGGAATGATTACTACAACGCTCCACACCCGGTTAGTCTTACATTCAATACTCACATACTGCAGACTTAACTTGGTCACTAAGATCACAACAGGCTCTCGCATAGCTGTCTGCTACACTTCGCTGCTGCCACAACCGGAGATGCGGAGGACTTCCTAGTTCCACTCCCACAATCAGACTGCTCCAGTCCGCCATCTCCCTCAACCATTTCACCCCACCTCTCAAGGAAGGTATAATCCGATTAACCTTATCCCTAGAGAGGTAATCTTGTTCCTGGAAGCCTGACGAAGAATAATTCCTCTTTCCAGGAATTAATCATTTGGCTAAACAGCTTCGGTCTTAATCAATTGACCTTTCTTAGATATGTGATCCATAGTCTGTCTACTTACATGTACTTTCAATCATCATTCGTTAAGTGTTGTAGTAATGATCCTCTAGCTAATAATTCCTACTAACTTGTGGATTACAACACCTACCCCTAGCCTTAAACAGCCGAACACCAACGCGTTACCGTCACAATATATATATATATATATATATATATATATATATATATATATATATATATATATATATATATATACATAATTAAAAAAGTGAAGATCTAATCGCTACTGGAATTAGGACAGGAGATTTATTGATGAAAATTAAGCCACCCAGGAGGTGACACGGGCATGAATAGCCTGGAAAAGGACAGGAGAAACAGTCCTGTCCTATATATAGTCCGGGCCACCTCTTGGGTTGCTTTACGGGCTATTCATGCCCGTGCCACCTCTTGGGTGGCTTAATCTTTATCAATCATCAATCTTGGGTTGCTAAATTTTTATCAGTCAATCTTGGGTGGCTTTATCTTCATCAATCATTCAATGGGTTCGAATCTTGGTCGGGTCATTTAGAGTTCTTTGTGATCTACGGCTTGCGTGTTCCTGCAGCCTTTCTCTCACACACACACAGTAGTATGTCTGTTCATCCATATATCCATGAATCTGTCCCTCTATCCATCCATTTGTCTATCTATCTATATCTCTATCTATGTATGTATGTATCTATCTATCTATATCTATCCGTCAACCCATCCATCCATCTAACTACACATCTATCTATCCCTTTATCCATCCATCTATTTGTCTATCAATCCATATATCAAAAATCAAATCAAAATGTTTATTTAGGTAAGGTACATACATAAAAGAGATTTTACAAAGAGTGATGGATTAATAGTTAGGGCTAGTACATACAATGCCTAAAGCCACTATTACGCAAAGCGTTTCGGGCATATCTATTTATCCATCTACTCAGCCAAGCAGAACTAATGATAGAGTTTACTTAAACATGGAAAGAGTATTTGTGTTCCGAGGAATGAATATTTATTTCGTGTTATTGTGAACTACACTATTAAGATGAGTGTGTGGAAGTGGAGGAACAGTCACAGGTTACCTCAGTGGCTCCCTGTCGTAGGCTGAGTGGACTGAAGGAATTGTACTTACAGCTTCTCGAGTGATGAAACAAGGGAAACATGTTCACGACATACTAAATACTCAGAGTCCTAGACTACACAAAGACAAATTAGACCTATTTGATACAGATGGTACATACAGGAAATGAAGTGGAAGAAGGCAGACTCCGTGCGCAGCTTCTAATCTTGATTACATAGGCCTCTCCCGAAGGGCTCCAGAACCTTCACATCAGTCCATTGAAAGTTGAGAAGAGGGGCCAAAGAGCTGAAGCTCAGCCTCCTCAGACACATCTAGGCGAGTCACTACCATGACACTGAATGTGTTTCCACAGTGAATAAATCACCAGGAGCAAGCACACTGAACAGCACGTCTCCATGGTGAGTCCCCCCACAACACTGAACACATCTCCATGGTGAGTCCCCACCACTACACTGAACACGTCTCCATGGTGAGTCCCCACCACTACACTGAACACGTCTCCATGGTGAGTCCCCACCACTACACTGAACACGTCTCCATGGTGAGTCCCCACCACTACACTGAACACATCTCCATGGTGAGTCCCCACCACTACACTGAACACGTCTCCATGGTGAGTCCCCACCACTACACTGAACACGTCTCCATGGTAAGTCCCCCACACAACACTGAACACGTCTCCATGGTGAGTCCCCACCACTACACTGAACACGTCTCCATGGTGAGTCCCCACCACTACACTGAACACGTCTCCATGGTGAGTCCCCACCACTACACTGAACACGTCTCCATGGTGAGTCACCACCACTACACTGAACAGCACGTCCCCATGGTGAGTCCTCACCACTACACTGAACACATCTCCACACGTTACCGGACAACACCACACTACCCTGCCACCAGGACAGGGAGGAGGCAAGCCTACCTAACGGCTCCTCCAACCTTTCTCAGTTTGTTTCGTTCATACGTCAACCAAGACATTCATACACACGGACAGCACGGACAGCACCAGTGGTGGGGTAAACACGGACAATCATACACACGGCATACTACCTATCATACAGTATCGTAAAGAATATGTGTGTATGTAATTCAAATGACATATGTATCCCTATGGAGAATAACTGAGCCATTCGCTATGTGTGTCTAACTTTATCGAGCCCTCTGGGTTGACGGTGGCTTACACAGCCTATCAACCTCAGGGACTATATCCCTGCTATACACCGAGAAGCGGGGTACACCTGGCTATACACCGTGAAGCAGGGTACACCTGGCTATACACCGAGAAGCGGCGTACACCTGGCTATACACCGAGAAGCGGGGTACACCTGGCTATACACCGAGAAGCAGGGTACACCTGGCTATACACCGAGAAGCGGGGTACACCTGGCTATACACCGAGAAGCAGGGTACACCTGGCTATACACCGAGAAGCGGGGTACACCTGGCTATACACCGAGAAGCGGGGTACACCTGGCTATACACCGAGAAGCGGCGTACACCTGGCTATACACCGAGAAGCGGCGTACACCTGGCTATACACCGAGAAGCGGGGTACACCTGGCTATACACCGAAAAGCGGCGTACACCTGTCTATACACCGAGAAGCGGGGTACACCTGGCTATACACCGAGAAGCGGGGTACTACCCTCAACCGATTCCCGTTCAGTTACAGCTTCGTGTTTTTTTTATACAGTATACACCCATAAATCTATCTCATTAACTTAATTCCTACTCCTCCCAACCATTTGAAATAACTCTCACCAATGTATCATACTGTTTATAGAGTAAACGAGAGTATTTGGGCTTAGTGCGGTCGATATATTAAAGAAACCACCAGTGGTCGTTGGAGCATTTTCCCGCATGACCTTGACGAGGTTTGAAATTTCCCGCCAGACGACAAATGGCCAGAAACGTTTCATATATATTTGTTCAATTTTTTTTTTAGTTTAGTTCGTGTATTATGCGTCTCCATACCTGTCATACGAGCGGTGGATGAATTTTTTTTTAGACAAATGGGCTCAGGAACTGAGCACTGATACTGTATAGCTAAGCAAGTTAATAACAACATTGGTGAACTGTATAATTATAACAGATTTGTGATAGTGTTACACGATAAAAATAACAGTGAGCTGCGTCTGTTAGCAGCATCTGTCTAGTAGACCCGGAATGGTACCTTTTTCAGTCAGGAAAACCTGATTGTTTTTTAATGGCATCTCCAGGCATACGGGCACGCTTACGGCCACAGTAGCGAGATGTCACGTTCCTACTTAGAGCAGCCAGCTTCCGCTCGCCCTTCGTGGGTGGGGGTTCCGCGCCGCTGGCCCTCACGGGATTGAGGGTGCTCCGACGGAACCCCCCAAAGTGATAAGCCAAGAATACGAAATTGAAATTGAAATTGAAATAAGTTTATTGAGGTAAAATACACACAAAGGGATGAAGTAGCTCAAGCTATTCTCACCCCATTCAGTACAACGTGTAAATATATACATAGACACACATCACAAATAAACACATTACCAAACATTCTGAGAGGTAAACATATACATTTCCTCCTTCACAAGTAGTATGGTATCAGACGTACACACAAATACTTTTATGACCTAGGTATACTGTATAGACAATTTGCAAGACACCTGCAGATAATTCAACAAAATATTACAATTTTGGTGCAAAATTCTTATATCTCTCAAGAATATCATCAACCTTTCCGTTGTGACACATCCAGGCTATTTGTTCAGGAACAGTCCTTATCTCAGTGTTTCTATATACATTAATCAACGGACAATCAAGAACATAATGGGCAAGGGTGTGAGACCTTAACATACCACATAGTTTACACTTCGTGTCATTATCATGAACATCTATCCCATATTCCCAGTAATATTTGTACCCAAGCCTGAGCCGCATGTACACAGAGTCACTCCAAGCATTTCTCCTTTTACCATAAGTGAAATGGGTGTTTTGACTCACATACATGTAGTGTTGCATGGTTTGACTTCTCTCATACATTATCTCTCTCCTCTCCACTCCCGCCTGTGCCTGAATATTTCTGATTTTGCTTCTTATTTGTCTCATTGTGAATTCACATTCAATGTCAACTTGTGGTTTTGATGTGGCACGTTTGGCCAAGTCATCCGCCACCTCGTTGAGCACTATTCCAACATGAGATGGAATCCACATGAATTTCACACTATAACCTTTCAGCTGTATCTCAGTTATTCTTCTCTTACAGTCCTCAACTATAGACATGAAGACTGGGTTTCGACTGTTTAAGGACTCCAGTGCTCCTCGGCTATCGACAAATACAAAAACATTTTTGTCGTCATGACGTACTTCCTCCAAACACGCCAGAACGGCCTGCAGTTCAGCTTGTGTGGATGATATATAATTACTAAGCCGGAGTTCAATTCTGTCCACAGTCCCAAACTCCGTATAATCCCTTATTAGGACACCACACCCTGCCCTGCCATCCTCCGCCACCGACCCGTCACAATATACATGTAAACTGTTGCCTCTTGGTAACCGAGATATCATGCTTCCATACAAACACCGTAATTGTCCCGGTTCATGATGAATCTTTTTCACCTTGAGGGGTACAATTTCGACGTCTATTTTCTGTACTTTCCAGGGAGCAGACATATTACACTGTCGAGAGGGTTTACAGCAGTCAAGTACGTCGTATTCCCTGAGGTCATGAGCTAATCCTCTCGTGTAGCGTGTCTCCCTCAGTTTCCTGGAAGTGTGTACGTCACTCAAGCAGGTCTGAACGCTCTCAAACAGCTTATCCCCTCCTTTTCTCCGCATGAAACGAATAGATACTCTAGTGTTAATGTCATGGACTCTATCACACACACTCTGTAAATTTAATTCCATTCTCATTATTTCAATCATTGCATTTCTTTGACATCCAAGAATAATCCTCATAGCCTCGTTCTGTATCAGCTCTATTTTTTTAATTCTGCCTTGGCCTGTGTAAGACAATACGGGTGCTGCGTAGTCTATCAGGGACCGAACAGTGCTTATGTATAACATCCGCAAGATAGGTACCCCAACACCTTTACCAGAAAAAGCCAGTGCTTTCAGAGGATGCAGACGGGCTTTACATAAGGTGCTGATATGATTTATTTCAGCATTTTTACTCTCACATGTGTATCCAACATACATACCTTGAGGTTACCTTGAGGTGCTTCCGGGGCTTAGCGTCCCCGCGGCCCGGTCGTCGACCAGGCCTCCTGGTTGCCGGACTGATCAACCAGGCTGTTGGACGCGGCTGCTCGCAGCCTGACGTACGAGTCACAGCCTGGTTGATCAGGTATCCTTTGGAGGTGCTTATCCAGTTCTCCCTTGAACACTGTGAGGGGTTGGCCAGTTATGCCCCTTATGTGTAGTGGAAGCGTGTTGAACAGTCTCGGACCTCTGATGTTGATAGAGTTCTCTCTCAGAGTACTAGTTGCACCTCTGTTTTTCAACGGGGGTATTCTGCACATCCTGCCATGTCTTCTGGTCTCATGTGATGTTATTTCTGTGTGCAGGTTTGGGACCAGCCCCTCTAATATTTTCCACGTGTAAATTATTATGTACCTCTCCCGCCTGCGCTCAAGGGAGTACAGTTTTAGGCTCTTTAGTCGGTCCCAATAGTTTAGATGTTTTACTGAGTGGATTCTAGCAGTAAAGGATCTCTGTACGCTCTCCTGTTCAGTAATTTCTCCAGCTTTGAAAGGTGCTGTCATTGTGCAGCAGTACTCCACTCTAGAGAGCACAAGCGTTTTGAAAAGTATCATCGGTATAGCATCTCTAGTGTGAAAAGTTCTTGTTATCCAACCTGTCATTTTACATGCCCAGATACTTGTACTTGTACAAGAATACGAGATCTCTCTTCATTGTATTTGATTTAATCATTATAACGGCTATCCAATAATTTTATTTTTGTATAATAATTTATGGTTATTCACTAATCATTATTAGTCACCATAATTAATTCCACTTTAATAATCTATTTATTCGTTATAATGAGCTACTAGGCTTCCTCATTTAAGGATTATCACTTATTAAATCATTTATTATGACTATTATTAATTAATTATTTGTTTTAAATAATTAATTATTATTATTATTATAAACTGTAAAAAAACTGTACAGTCTCCGTGGTGTAGTGGTAAGACACTCGCCTGGCGTTCCGCGAGCGCTATGTCATGGGTTCGTATCCTGGCTGGGGAGGATTTACTGGGCGCAATTCCTTAACTGTAGTCTCTGTTTAACGCAATAGTAAAATGTGTACTTGGATGAAAAACGATTCTTCGCGGCGGGGGATCGTATTCCAGGGACCATAGGATTAAGGACTTGCCCGAAACGCTACGCGTACTAGTGGCTGTACAAGAATGTAACAACTTTTGTATATATCTCAAAAAAAAATAAATAAATAAATAAAATAAAATAAACAAGTCCCCCACTCAGTGAGCGTTTTCTTCCAACCGCAGAATAACAGTTTTTCAAATTGCATTACAGTAAATAAATAAATATAGTACTGTATTTTGGGGTTCAGTACCTGAGCCCGTATGAAAAAGCTCTGTAACTTTTTTCCACTACCACCCAAACGCAGGATGGGTATGGGGTCCACCTCTGCCCAAATGCTTGCAAAGACAGCCTGTAGAAAACCTGTGGTAGAAATTGATATGGGTGTTTCATTAGCAGTGACAAAGAGAATACTTAAACAAATATCTAATGAAGATCTCACCGACCTAACAAATTCGCAAAGACCGGAAAGTTGTAGCATTAAATATTATGATATATATCGTGGGGAGACATTCACATATGGGACTAATAGAACAAGAACCCGGCAATGTGATGTTATAGTGGCCAGAATACGCCTGGGATATAGACGTATCTGGCAGCTTTCTCAAAACCCAAATGTCGAGTACACAATGTGTCAACTTTGTGAAAAAGAAAACATACACTCACTTGAACATTATATTGTAGAATGTCCTTTAATATTGTCTGACTTTCGCCCTCCTGGACTAAAGTATGCTGAACTGTGTAATTACTATATGAGTACTGGAACACTTGATGATATATTGGACCCAAGATTGACCATGTAATGTATCAATTATACAATGTATGTATGTGATGTAACTATATATCCTGAGCTTGTAAAAGCACCTTAATCACCTTCAGTGATTAAGTGCTTAAATGCACACTAGTGTATGTATATGTATGTGTATAAAGTATATATGGAAGCTGATCAGAATTACATTTCACCTTTGTAAATGCACACTAATGACAATATGTAAAAGACATATCGAACACTATTTTGTAAGCCGAGCAGTAGTAACATCTAGAAGTCTGCTGATTTTATTGGTTGATCTATGGATCATCCAATAAAATCAGCAGACTTCTAGATGTTACTACTGCTCGGCTTAGACTCGGTTACAAGTATCTCTGGGAATTCTCATTATCTGCCGATGTAGACTTGACCAAATGTAAACTGTGTCAACAAAATTATTCGCACACCCTCCGTCACTATGTGATGGAGTGCGAAAAGATACGTGAATTTAGAGACAATTCTATAACCAATGTTCCAACGATGTGTCAATATTTCATTCAAAATTATCTGCTACCAGAAGTTTTAGCCAAATATCCCCAGTTTGCTAACTGTAGGTAGTAACTAAGTGATTGTAACCTATCCACCGCTGCCCACTGGATGGGGGGCGATGTGCAGGACAAACATATAAATTTTGACACTAGCTCTCCACATATGTCAGTTGCTTAATTTAGAACCTGTACTTGAGGTCGATCTCGAACCCATTGTTGATGTGACGACTTATATTGAATTTTGTAACTAGCTCATCAAGATTGTAACTTGCTTAGCTAAATGAATTGTGGGGTTCAGTCCCTGAGCCCATTATGTGCCTCTGTAACCCTTTCCACTACCGCCCACAGGATGGGTATGGGGTGCATAATAAATGAACTAAACTAAACTAACTAAACTGATCCATAGATATGTGGCTCCTCTTGAATGATAGTATGATGATAGATCGAATTACTAGTGTCGATTTCACTTTGCCTCACAATTACAAGATTTAGTTGAAGTTCTTGGTGTATTATTGCTCTCAGACGGCTTATTGACAATCCAAGGTTATACTCAATTTATCTTTTAAAGGCAGATTCTTTTGCTAACTCATCAGCTCTCTCATGCATTCGGAGGCCAACATGAGATTGAGTCCACATGAAATGGACTCTGTTCCCATCATTAATAATTTTGTTGTATTTGTGTCTAGCTTCAGACACGAGCATGTTACAGTTATGTCTTAAAAAGTTGAGAGCAATTACAGGCACATGAAATAAATGGGAAAATACTGGAATGGATAAAAGAAGGGTCAGAACATTGACAACAAAGGGTCGTGCTAAATGGGAATGAATCTGACTGGGGAAATGTGCTAAGTGGGGTGCCACAGGGGTCCATTTTGGGGCCAACCCTTTTTGTCACATACATCAATGACATAGATGATAAAATGAGTAGGGCAAATACCTTGTAAAATATGAGATCTAAAAGTTGTTACACCAAATGGCTAAATTCTGCCATTAAAAGAGTTCACAGTGGATTTGTAATGGAGTTTTATGGGAGAGTGTTATACCATTTTTCTAAATATCTTCTTATATGGGTGTTGACTGCTCTATTTGTGTACCTGTTGTTTATTAATACTTGAAGGTTTCTCTCCAGGTCCTTGTGGATTGTACATCAGTCAGAACAACGAGAAAGGGCTCTGTGTATAAATGCGTTTATTACATTAGTTTTATATCTGTTTGGCCATTCGGAGCGACAATTTATACACATTCCAATGTTGGTGGGTTTAGTATAAACTTGTGTGGTGAAAATGTTGTCAAGTTCAAGTTCAAGTTCAAGTATGTTTATTAAGACAAGAAAAAAATACATCTCAAAGGGATAGAGTAGCTTAGGCTATTTCTAATGTTGTCTTTGGTTCTCACGCAGACATCAAGGAAGAAATTGAAATAAGTTTATTGAATTTTAATTTCTTCCTTGATGTCTGCGTGAGAACCAAAGACAACATTTTCACCACAATGAAGAGAGTACACCATCGATGCTCATGGGTAAAATTGAGCACCGAGTTCAACTGTTTTTTTTTTTTTTTTTTTTTTTTTTGTGATATATACAAGAGTTGTTACATTCTTGTACAGCCACTAGTACGCGTAGCGTTTCGGGCAAGTCCTTAATCCTATGGTCCCTGGAATACGATCCCCTGCCGCGAAGAATCGTTTTTTCATCCAAGTACACATTTTACTGTTGCGTTAAACAGAGGCTACAGTTAAGGAATTGCGCCCAGTAAATCCTCCCCGGCCAGGATACGAACCCATGACATAGCGCTCGCGGAACGCCAGGCGAGTGTCTTACCACTACACCACGGAGACTGTGACCCAATAGTATTTCCTGTGTTCTGTGTCACAGAAAGAGAGGAATGTTTCGAAGTTTTATTTGCTTTTTATTTCATAGATTCTGCCTATGCATACGTATTATGCGTATGGAAATCCATATATAAAAGGCATTTAGTAAATATTAATAGCTCCTTATCCCTAGAGTATTCGAACCTCGCTGCTCGTAGCCAATGCTAACAAAGATTTAAAGTGAAATACGCTGTGATTGGCTGAGCTTTGGATGCTGTGACAGAGATGCGGACTGACCAAATCCACACTATAAACAAATGTGTTTGGGAGCGTCTTGCCAGAAGGAATTTTGACTCGACAGGTAATAACTGCAGTTTCTTTCAATGATAAGAGAATAGCAGATGTTGCAGGTGTTTGAGAGACCAGACACTGAGGGTGTTGGTGGCCAGCAGGGAGACGAGGGACGCAGGCCGTCCTGGGGCCTGACCCGAGATCTGCAGCTGCTCTGCTCTGTTATATTTGTAATATATTAATGCATTACATGGAATGATGATAGTGAAGTTTTTCTTTTTTACATGACGCTATTTACTATTAAGCCTATGCATAGTGTTTGGACAAATTTTAAACATGATAAAGTGTTTACCCATCAGTAGGGAACGTGTGCTGGGTTTAGTCAATCGTGAGACAGGTTACTTTTGCTTTCTCTTAAACTGTGTCATTGCAATAACAGTCCTACTCAGTATGAGAAGAACGGCAAGTCTGGACAAATAGTTTTGTTCTTGTTTGATTGGCCAGTAGAACAAGGCTTTGTCTGTGGGATTAAGCCTTAAAGCTTCTAAAGGCAGAATCTTTTGCTGGAGAAGCAGTGATATTTTAAATGGCTAGCATTGGGATGGTCAGAGACTAGTGTCAAAGAGTCTAGAGTCGCCCGTGCCATTCCGAAATTTCCTCTGTGAGACGGGAGCAAGGGGGCAGAGCCTGGAATGGACACATGTAAGAGGAACCCGGAGGAGTTGTTCCAAATAGTGCCGCCACTCCCATCCAAAATACGGAAATCATTAATGCTGTTGTATTCAATTGTTCATAGATGACTTGACTTGGTAGAGTAGAGCACCCTGGTCAGGGTGTTCTAGACCTGTAGCAGAGTACCATCCTCATTGCAATCCACTAAGACTTCTCCCTCTAAGGCTGGAGGTTTTGTCTTACACCCTGATAGCATCAACCCTCTGAAGAGAGCTAAGGTGGTGGTGGCAGCTTCTGATAACTACTTTGGAAGCTGCTGCTGCTGATGTTGGTGCAGTGCTAGCATTTCGTTGGGCTAAATAATATAATTTCCCTGTAGTCGGCCAGAAAGACTGGAAGGATTATTGACTCTTACTAATTAATTTTTGACAGTTTTTTTTCAGAGGTACTGTACTACTATAGCAATGAATATTTTTATTTTGTAAGGTAATTTTGTTGTATTTATATTCAAATTTGCTATACAGTACTTAGGATCAGAAAGTTAATATCTTCTATAATGCTTGTAAGAATGTCACATGACCAGTAATGGTAATGAGTTCATAAAAAGGAGAAAACAAAGTATATTGGGTCAAGGCAGAGTAGAACAAGGCAGAGCAAGGCAGAGTATGGCAAGGCAAGACAAGACAGAATAGGGCAAGGCAGAGTAGGGCAAGGTAGAGCAGGGCAAGGCAGGGCAAGGCAGAGCAGGGCAAGGCAGAGCAGGGCAAGGCAGAGCAGGGCAAGGCAGAGCAGGGCAAGGCAGAGTAGGGCAAGGTAGAGCAGAGCAAGGCAGAGTAGGGCAAGGCAGAGCAGGGCAAGGCAGAGCAGGGCAAGGCAGAGCAGGGCAAGGCAGAGTAGGGCAAGGCAGAGTAGGGCAAGGCAGAGTAGGGCAAGGCAGAGTAGGGCAAGGCAGAGTAGGGCAAGGCAGAGTAGGGCAAGGCAGAGCAGGGCAAGGCAGAGCAGGGCAAGGCAGAGCAGGGCAAGGCAGAGTAGGGGAAGGCAGAGCAGGGCAAGGCAGAGCAGGGCAAAGCAGAGCAGGCCAAGGCAGAGTAGGGCAAAGCAGAGCAGGCCAAGGCAGAGTAGGGCAAGGCAGAGTAGAGCAAGGCAGAGTAGGGCAAGGTAGAACAAGGCAAGGTAGGGCAGGGCAAAGAAGAGTAGAGTCGGCCAGGGTAGATTAGAGTAGTGGGGCAGGGTACAGTAAAGTAGAATAAGGCAGGACAGAGTAGGGTAGCATATAGTAGGGTAGGACAGAATAGAGTTGGGAGAGTAGGGTAGGGGAGAAGCGGGCTTGGTAGGGCAGGGCAGAGTGGGGCAGGGAAGGATAGAGTAGATTAGAGTAGGGTAGGGCAGGGTTGGGTAAGGTTAAGGTAGAATAGAGTAGAGCAGGGTAGGGCAGAATATGGTAGGGTAGGTTAGATTAGATAAGGGTAGGGTAGGTAGGTCAGAATAGGTAGAGTAGATAGGGTAGGGTAGGTAAGGCAGAATAGGTAGAGTAGATAGGGTAGGTAAGATTAGACAAGGATAGGCAAAGGTTATATTCTTGAGGTTATCTTGAGATGATTTCGGGGCTTTTTAGTGTCCCCGCGGCCCAGTCCTCGACCAGGCCTCCACCCCCAGGAAGCAGCCCGTGACAGCTGACTAACACCCAGGTACCTATTTTACTGCTAGGTAACAGGGGCATAGGGTGAAAGAAACTTTGCCCATTGTTTCTCGCCGGCGCCTGGGATCGAACCCAGGACCACAGGATCACAACTCCCGTGTGCTGTCCACTCGGCCGACCGGCTCCCTAGAATAAGGTAGAATAAGTTGTGCTGGTTTTTGCTTAGTTTGGCTAGGCTAGGCTTGGCTCATGTTGGGAAGGTTAGGCTCTGCTCATCTCAATTAATATATGTTGGGCTATGTTGATTGGAATGGTTTATATTATTGAGTTTGGCTGGATTGGATTGGGTTAGGTTTGAAAGGTTATGTTAGGTTTAGCTAGTTTGTCTGGCTAGTTTGATCAGGATGGTTTGCATTGAATAGGGCTGAGTTGCATCAACTTTAGTCTGATTTCATATACTCATAGACAAAAAGTTAAGTACAAATGTTAAGTACAAAAGTTAAGTACAAATGTAAAAAAAAAGCAGAAAAATATTGTACAGTACAGTATATTAAAACTACAGAATTTTCCCCAAGTTAAGTACAAATGTAAAAAAAAAAGCAGAAAAATATTGTACAGTATATTAAAACTACAAAATTTTCCCCCTTATTTTTAGCTGTTATCTTGAATTGAGATTAAATACCAAAGTGTGAAATTATCATACCATTCTGCATCTTTTTTATTATATTTTAATAGACTAAGTCACTTCAGTTTCCATAAGTCTGTTTAGTTTTGTTTCTTGCTTCTGCTTTTTTGAAAATAGGTGTTATAATTACAGTTCTTAATTTTGACACCCACAGTTAATATCATCTTCAGCAGGTGGTCTCAAGTTGTAGAGAAGAAAGGGCACTCATCTCAGCTACTCCTCCAGCACAACCTGGTAAGGCCTATATTTTTTTTAAATTGCTGACCAAAAAAAACTGCTATATCTAAATACAAATTATACACTATATAATGATAATGTCTGTATGCGATATTATTCCAACTTTCTCTTATGTAATTATTGCATTTAATTTTATGGAAACTAATTATAAATATGCCGTCACATATGAATAAAGTTATTTTTATTTGATTTTACTATTATGCTACTAAGCTTTTCTCATGATTATGAAAATTTGAATAATTTATTCAACAAATAATCACATTTCTTATTGCATTTTTATATTAAGAAAATGGCCTATTCTTTCTATCTATACCTTTACAAATCTTAAAATGTTTGTGTTCACATAGAGAAAAAAGTGCTCATCTCAGTTCTCTAATGTCACCTAGCAGTAAGTAGGTACTCAGGAGTTAGTCAGCTTGTTGTGGGGTTGCATCCTGGGGAGGGTCAGTACTTCGACCTGGGGGGGGGCGGCCTTGATAAAAGCCTAGAATGTATGAATACACTCTGGCTTCCTGTCCCCCAACACAATGAATTATTATTATTATTACACTGTTATTATTATTATTATTACAGTATTATTATTATTATTACAGTATTATTATTATTATTATTATTATTATTATTATTATTATTATTAGAGTATTAGTATTATTATTATTATTATGTATATCCCTTATAATAAATAATAATTCTGTACAAAATAACACCCTATAATTAATTCAAATTTGATTTAGAAATAGATGTGAGGTGTGATGTTGAGGATGTGAGAGAGGCATTCTTTAGTTTTTGGAGGTACAGTACAGAACAGTTTGAAATGATGTTTGATTCTGTTGATGACAGATGGCAGCACATACTGAATCCACGTACCAATTTTGAATCCCAGAGGCTCTGGCCTAACATTATAGTACAGTATTTATACACCTTTCCCTATGCACCTAGAGTGAATTCGAATATTCGAGAGAAATTTTTTTTTTTACTCTATTGATGGCAGTTGAGAAGATCAACATTTAACAAGGATAAAGGTACTGTATTTGAAAGATATTGTTTGAAATTTTGTATTAAATGTTATACAATATGTACTGTGTGTGATTGTATAGCAGTTTTGCAAGGTGTTTGGACTACACCCAATCTCTCTTATTTTTCAGATACTGTACCTGTAATGTGCCGTAAAACACGAATGTGACTTTCTATATTTTGAATATGTGGAAGTAGGAATAATGGATGGTCAAGTATCTCACGACAGTGCAGATCATAATGCTATTACACATGAATGTCAACTACAGAAAAATGACTCCTTGGATCATATGGAGTTGACACATAATATAAGAAAAGATCCCACAGATGCTAGTAATGAATATCAGAGTATAACAAATAGTGTAAATGTTCATATGCAACATAAACCTGGGAATGAAAATGCCATGGACAATAGTTACACTGCAGAGAAGAGTTCCAGAACTCATGAAAAAAATGTAGATGTTGCATTTCATAATTCAGAAAGTACAGAATGCCATAATATATGCAGTAATGAAAATTTGGAGGCTGAAAAGTATCTTGGTATTAAATCTAATTGGTTATTAGATCCCAGAAGCATTAATGTTAAAGCACTTGATGTGTCAGAAGATGCCTCTGTAAAGTCACAGGAAATATCTTGCATGGACATTACTCTGACCGATGACTCAGAAAGTGTAGATAACAAAGCCACTTTGTGTCCAGCAGTGCCAGTGCCAGAGTATATAAATAATGGAAGTGCTACACATCTTGAGAAATCAGATAATACAGCAAGCATCTGCAGTTCACAGCATGAAATTTCTGAAACCATGTTAGACAAAGACATCACACAAATCAGTAAGTTGGGAAGTGTGGGAGACATCAATATTCCTGCTAAAGATATTAAAGAAGACTCAGAAGACAGAGAGGGCAATGTGATTTCACAAAATCAGTTGGAGAGTGAAAATAAAGTAAGCAGTGATCAGGTAGATTGTCATGTGATTGATGAGGAGTCTGATAATAACGATGAATCTGATGAACCAAGTGACGGATTGCACATCACTAAGCTAGGAAAAATTTGTAGAGTATGTGGTGAAATGACAGTGAAGTATGATGGGCAAAAAAAAGGTGTCCCAAAACATGCAATTGTTAAGCATGTGAAAAAAATCTGGAATGTTGATATTTCGGATGAAAGTTCTGACATTTATCCTGTCAATGTGTGTCATAGTTGTGAAAGGAGAATAAAGCGACTGTATCCTAAAATTTCCAAAAGGAAAAAATGTGAAATGTTCAGGCATAAACTAGCAGACTTTATTGAACACAATGAGAATGATTGTGCTGTATGTTTATTGAAGGAGCGAACTCCATCGCCTTCTCGTTTGTCATGTGAATTGTCACAGAAAGAAACTGGTTCTGCAAATGAAGTTAATAAAAGCCAGGGTAGTGATATTGAAGTAAATGTAAACTCTAGGCATCAGACATTGCTAGAATCTAGAAGAAATTCAGCTTATAAAAGAACCTGGGAAGATGAGGGGATGTCTTTTAAGACTGTTGGGTGTCAGACAGAATTAGATAATGAACTAGAGAGTATGACTGGCTTAGAAGAGCATGATTATACTCAGGATGAAACACTCGGTCAATTCCGTGTCTTACCCAAAAAATTAGGTGGTAGATCATCATATCAGAAGCAGTCACTGATCTCTCTTACTGCCAAATACATTAGGCAAGATCGTCTTAAACCTTTGATTGCTCATATTGACAAATTTTGTCAGTTGCACAAGGAGGATAAAATTGATGCAATGTTTTTCTTGCTGATGCAGACATTGCGAGATGCTGGTGACCGATCTAGGGAGACTCTCATATTGGATGTATGGTGCAAAAAGAATAATGTCGGCATGTCGCTTACAGAAGAAGAGTGTCTTGCAAAGCGAATCATGCTCAAGCAGACCAAAGATCAGTATAGAAAAGAATATAGCTATTACAAAGAAAAGTTGGAAAAATCAGTATTAAAACCTCCATTTATTATTGATCGACTGGAGAAAACCTACTTCCCAGAGCACCTTGAGTATTTTGTGACTGATGGGGAACTAGGGCCTGTAGTGTATCAGCATGAAAAGAGCACACATCCTTCATACTTCACCATTTCAGACTGTCAAGATGCTAATGGAAAAGGAGACAATGCACGTGCTAGTGTCATGGGTGTTCGATGGCGATACTTTGATGCTGTTGCCAAGACATTAGAAGAGTTATCACATTTTCTTGAAAATGAAATCCAAGACATTAATGAAGATGCTTGCATAAACGTTGACATGTTTGACTACTGCGAAGAAAAGAGAGACATGACAACTATTAATGATAAAAATGACTCATCGGGAAATGGTCGTGGGGCCCAGAGTAAAATGATCACTTACTTTTTTGGTGTTCAGTCTATGCAGTCTCTCACAGAAAACACTGTTACCTCATTATACAAATCCAACCCAAACACAGTGCTGTTCAGACCCCTTATGAAAGCACTTGTAGCTGAAGGTGGTGTATTGCATCCTGCAGTTATGGCAATTGATGAAGAAAAAGATGCAATGACCGATAAAGTCTTCCATATCACACTGCCAAGTGGTACACCCCTTCGTTTTATGGTTTCTTTCAGTAATTCATCACTTCAGATACGGAAGGACTGCAGGTAGGAAAACACTCTTATCTGGATACAAGTTTAAAGTTAAAACTGAAATAAATATGATTAATATTTTCGAAAGGCTTCCTTAAGCTATGCATTAAATATATAGAGAGTAATAGTAAAAAATATATAAATGTGGCTATTGGATATGTTTTTACTTGAAGCTTCAAACTGCTATTGTAGTATTAAAATTTAACACATGCAGAACAGCTGTGAAGTGACACACATGACAGGTCTAAGCAACTGAAGGTTGATGTACCTGGCAGAGAATGTACCTGGCAGTTTTTCAAAGAATGCCAATTCCTATTTTACCATATATTGCTCCCTTTATTTCTTCTTCTGTATTTTGATTTTTAAATTACTGTACACATTATTTTGTATACCATTTGATTCATTAGTAGAGAAGTTCCTAAAGTAAATTATTTTCTTTGTGAAATTACTTAGCATAAGTACAGTATCCATTAGTCATCATTTAAGCACATTTCTCAATGAATAATTTTTTTCAGGAATGTAAGTGGACTCTCACTCTCCTCTTTCAAAAAAGTTCCAGTAATTTTCAACCGATATGGAAGTATCTGCTTAGAACTTAAGAGAAGCTGGCTGGCTACAAGTCCACGCTTGGTTCATGTTAGCCAAGTCACAAAATCCCGCACAAAATGCAGTCGGTGTGGCGAACAGGGTCACAATGTCCGGAAGTGGGTTGAATACAATACAGTAGTGGTATTCATTGTCCCCTGTAGAAAACACTGCACCATTCTTTTTGCTTGTCACATACTGTACCTCTTTCCATTTTGTAGGCAGGATGTGTTATACTGTATATATTTTTAATCTTAACAAAAAATTTTTGTTCAACATCAAAATGAACTCATATTTTTTGGTGTCTTTTAAAATATTGTCTTTTTACAAATTTCATGTATACTACTGTATTCTGTTGCACCATCTTTCTGTGGAGAGCCCCTCCAACTCCCAGTGCTATACCAGGATGATGTGTATACAGAATACAGTATAAGACCGTGGCAATAGCCAGTCAATGGAGTTCTATTCCTACCGGGGACCACGAGCCAGAACCTGGCCCCTTTAGAGAGGTACAAGGAGCAATGGCCTATTGACACCCCCGTGTAGTTGGAAGCAATCTATATCTGCCATCTCGGGATCACGTAACCGAACCCGGGGAGGGGTGGACACCAAGTCCAATTCGTAAGTGGAGGGAGCGAAAGAAAACCCCTCTCCTTGTATCACCAAGCCCTGCTCAGAGGGTAGAAAAACCCAGGCGGGGTCCAACGGGGCCCAAGCCAACCCCTCCCCAACCACGGGAACCTCACCCTGAAGACCCGGGGCCGAGCCGTCCTCCTGACCCCCCACCTCTAAAGAAAAGGCAGGAGCAGCCGAAAAAGCAGGAACGAAGAGGGTCCACTGGCCAGACCCAAAAGCTCCGGCAGAAGGACCAGGCTCGAATGCCTCCGCCGCAGCCCCAGAAGGGGACACCTTCGAGACCGCCCAAGTCTCCAAACCAACTAAACCCTGCCCCGGCTCCGAAACCCTCAGACGTTTCGGAGCCGTAAGCAAGGGGTGGGGGGGGGCGAATGAATGACAGAAGGGGAAGAACTAGGAGGGGCGGACAGAACCAGAGCCGAAGTGACTCCCAACCTCAAGTCCGGGTCTCTATAACTAAAACGGGGCAGTCTCAGGGCATCCGGGGTAGCAACCAATCTAGCACATTGCAGCAACCTAAATCTAGCATGCAACGCCTCAGTTGCCCACACCCGTGTATCAGGCCCAGTAGCCTGGGTGAACTGGAGTACGTACAGACAACACATGTCGCATGACTCCGGGTCAAAACAATCACCGACCCAACAGGCAGCATGGCGGAGGCAAAACCGATGAGTGTCCCCCAGAGACAAGGGAACAGAGCAACCTTCAAACTCGCAAGAAGCAAGGGGGGGACTCAGGGGCCACATCCATCGGACTATGTAGCCCCCGAGGGGTTTCCCAGGGGCCCTTAGCCTTGGATACACACTAAGGGAAGCCCAGGCAGGGTACTGCGAACCTGCACCCAATCTACTAACAAAACTTCTATAGCTGAACCCCCGGAACTTGTACACTCAATGGGGACCAAGGTGGGGTGGACCATCAAAACAAGGTAAATGGATACAATAACCACAAGAACAGAGAAGGGGGACACAAGGGCAGACCCCCCCACCAGGCAGAAAACAAAAATAAAAGAAAACCTGCAAGAGGACAACGTACCCAGGCAGAACAGAGCTGGGCACTGTTATTAGTGAAAACTAGCTGTGCAGTACCCTGCACCCCTGCCAGTGACGAAAACTACCCCCTACCCAGAGACAAACAAGGGCAAGAAGAAACCCCAGCTGACCCCAAGGGCGGCCAAATACCGAGCAGTAAACAGCACAGCGGAGGTAGATCCCGAGGTGACTTGTGGAAGTCAAGCCCCAAGGGCAGTACAGAGGTACCTCGGTTTAAGAGTTTAATCCATTCCCGGAGACAACTTGTAGCCCGAAAACTCGTAAATTGAAGCTAATTTCCCCATAAGAAATAATAGGAAATGAATTAATCTGTTCCTGTCTACCCAAAAACCTCACTTCAAACTAAATTTTATACCTAATTCATCCAAATCTACACTACAAAAGTATGTTCAAGTTATTACTTACCCTTGCTGATGACGCCTGTTGGCATATGGAAGATGGTGAGGAGGGGGGAGGAGGAGAGGTGTTACTGTTTGGAAGGGGAGTCCCCATCCATTATAACATCAGGCAGTAAAGATTTTTCTGGAGTGCACACTCTGGCATGTTTTGTCAGCATACCACTAGGTCCTGGTTGTGGCTCTCTGCTTGATTTTCTCACAACGAAACGATCCTGTGAAGATTTTTTTCCCTTTGCAACACTTGTCTGTAGTAAGACATCACATTGTCATTTAAAAGGTCAATGCAACGGCCTGCTACAACTTTATCTGGATGAGTTTTTTTAACAAAACTTTGCAGTTCTGCCCATACTTCACACATTTTCTTAATGAGGCAGGGACATCCTCTACTGCCTCTACTCACAACTATATTCTTAGGTTGAACCTTATTACTGGCTTTCTTGGGACCCATGGTGAGATATATAATAACAACTTTTATGCTCAAATGGCCAAAAATCCAACAAAAAACTATAAATCCTTGTGAAGAATTCAGGTGGGATAGTCACTGGCCGCGAGGCTCTGGTAAACTGAGGCGTGATCGCCGTGCCACCACGCGCTAGGTCAGCCCGTATGCGTATCAACACTCTCATATCCTGAGGCAACGCATATCTCATTTGGATCGGTATATAAATACCGATCCAAATTTTCCAAGCAAATCCTGCTCGTAACCCGAAAAACTCATAACCAGGGATGCTCGTAATCCTAGGTACCACTGTACTTACAGGGCACCTAGGGAAGGAAACCCTAAGCGCATGCAGCCCGAGTACCGTAGAGTATCACTCCTGGCCCACGCACCACTGGAAGGGACAGCTCACACCACAAGGCACAGAACTGTAACAAAACACTGGAGCCAGAGACACGACCGCACCAGACTCTCATCGGCCTAGAACTGTAGGGTGGGTCACCGGCGGTTAGACCTGGGGCTGCCCCTTCCCCCTCCTGGGGAGAGGGGGGGGGGTTGCGTTGACACAGCGGCGTGGCAACGTGATGATGTCATGCTCGTTTGCTAGTTTTCGTTTGGGGAGTTCTGTCCACTTGTTCAGTCTTCGGTCGCAATAGTTTTACCAGAATAAGCGTTTGTTTTGGGGCGCCTACCTTTATGGGTGCCTATTCCGGTCGATGGCAGACACAGAATGCTCCCAATAATAAAGGGGGGGTCTCTCTAGGCCATTGCTCCTCGTGCCTCTCTAGAGGGGGCCAGGTTCTGGCTCGTGGTCCCCGGTAGGCAAGAACTCCATGCATTGACTGATGCCAGAAAGTTATACATATCCATTCAGCCTGGATAGCTCCAGGGAGCCTCCGGGACTCACCCAGAAAATGGCATTTCATTACATTCATCACTGGTTTTTTACTGTGCATGTAATCACCTCATCATTATTTTTTTGCGTTGAACTTTAGTTCTTGTGTTCTGCATCTGGTGTGCATGTTCCTGGACTGTCCGGAGTCTATCACCTAATTTTTATATATACTGTATATGGAGTCTGTCTCATCATCTTCACTTTCTAATTCATTCCACTTCATTACTACAGTATTGTGACAGTGAAGTTCTCTCTAATATTCCTGGGGCTTATTTTGGGTATTTACTTATTTGAGTACTTATTTGTTTACTTACTATGCTATTTAGTTTTCAGTGTCCTCTTCATATATCTCTCTTTTGTACTCACCTAGTTTTGCTTGTGGGGGTTGAGCTTTGGCTCTTTGGTCTTGCCTCTCAACTGTCAATCTACTGGTGTACAGATTCCTGAGCTTCTCGAGCTCTATCATATCTACTTTTGGAACTGTATGGAGTCAGCCTCCACCACATCTCTTCCTAGTGCATTCCATTTACTAACTACTCTGACACTGAAAAAGTTCTTTCTAATGTCTCTATGGCTCATTTGGGTACTCAGCTTTCACCTGTGTCTCCTTGTGCATGTACCACCCTTGTTAAATAATCCATCCTGGTCTACCCTGTCAATTCCCCTAAGAATTTTGTATGTGGTGATCATGTCTCCTCGAGCTCTTCTGTCTTCCAGAGACATGAGGTGCAGGTCACGCAGGCTTTCCTCATAGCTCATGCCTCTTAGTTCTGGGACTAGCCTAGTGGCATAACTGAACTTTTTCTAGCTTCGTCTTGTGCTTGATAAGGTATGGGCTCCATGCTGAGGCCACATACTCCACGATTGGTCTTACATACTGTATGTGGTATACAAGTGTCTGAAGGATTTCTTACACAGGTTTCTGAAGGCAGTTCTGATGTTAGCCAGCCTCGCATACGCTGCCGATGTTATTTTTTTATGTGGGCTTCATGAGACAGGTTTGGGGTGATATCAACTCCTAGATCTTTCTCTCTGTCCATTTTGTGAAGGACTTCATCTCTCATTCGGTTTCCAGTGTTTGGCCTCCTATATCCTCTGCCTAGTTTCATCACCTTACATTTACTTGAGTTGAACTTTAGTAGCCATTTGTTAGACCATTTCTTCAGTTTGTCTAGGTCATCTTGTAGCCTTATACTATCTTCTTATGTCTTAATCTTCCTAATAATTTTTGCATCATCAGCAAACATTGAGAGGAACGAGTCTATTTCCTATGGGAGATCATTCACATATACTGTATCAGAAACAGTATAGGTCCAAGGACTGATCCCTGTGGGACTACACTGGTGATGCCTTGCCATTCACGAGACCTCCTTCCCCCCTCACAGTGACTTGCTGTCTTCTGTTGCTTAGGTACTCCCTTATCCAGTGGAGTACCTTTACTTTCAGTCCCTCCTGCATCTCCAGCTTGTGCACTAGTCTCTTTCGTGTAACTGTGTCAAAGACTTTCTGGCAATCCAGAAATACGCAGTGGGCCCAGCCCTCTTTATCTTGCCATATTTGTGTTGCCTGGTCATAGAATTAAATTAATCCTGTGAGGCATGATTTGCCATCCCTGAACCCATGCTGATGTTGTGTTACAAAGTTCTTTCGCTCCAGATATTCCACTAGATTTTTCATACAATCTTCTCCTTCATCTTGCATGGTATGCAAGTTAGGGACACTGGCCTGTAGTTCAGTGCCTCCTGTCTATCACTCTTCTTGTATATCAGGACTACATTGGCCATCTTCCAAATTTTTGGCAGTTCACCTGTTACCAGTGATTTGTTGTACAGCATGGATAGTGGCAGGCGCAGAACTTCTGCTCCTTCCTTTAGTATGCATGGTGATATTCAATCCGGGCCTGTAGCCTTTGTCACATCCAAATCTAGCAGATGCTTCTTCACCTCCCCACTGGTAATCACAAATTCCTCTAGTGGTGTCTGGTTAGATATTCTCTCTCTTATCTCTGGGACTTCTCGTTACTCTTTTGTGAAGACCTGGAATTTCTTATCAAGTTCCTTGCACACTTCCTTGTCGTTTGTAGTGAATCTGTCTGCCCCTATCCTCAGTTTCATTACCTGATTCTTCACTGTTGTTTTTCTTCTGATGTGGCAGTGCAGCAGTTTAGGTTGAATCTTTGCCTTGCTCACTATGTCATTTTAAAAATGTCGCTCTGCCTCTCTTCTCACCCTGACGTATTCATTCCAGGCGCTCTGGAATCTTTCTCTGCTTTCTAGTGTCCTGTTATTTCTATAGTTTCTCCATGCCCTTGTACCTAGTTGCTTTGCTAGCTTACATATCTGATTAAACCATGGGGTTTCTTGTCTGCATATCATTATTTTCATTTTGACTGGGTCAAACTTGTATCAAGAAGCCTGTGTGTGTAATTGCTTAGGTAACCGTTGTAACATTTCTGTTGTTTCCTTGTAACTGTTGTTTCCTTGATATGATTGTATGTAGAGGATAAATTTTGCAGTTACCTATAAGTAAGAAAATGTTGTGCACTTTTCAGTCTTCAGCACCTGAAGACACTGACATGATCTGGAACTGAATAAATTTAATGAACAATATTTGCATAACAAAAATAAAATAACTTATAGTACATTTACTCTTTTGATTAATTCTTAGTTGAGGGCTGTAGCAGTTGAACAATACATAGATACAGTAGTAATAATTAGCAATTTAACAGGGCTTAAAATTGTCCAGGTATTGTCTTGGTTTTCAGATGTTCCTTGCCATCTGGTAATACAACTGAAGACACTGGTGTGCAGCGTAAGAAACGCAAAAAACAACGTACAGCTCCTTCATCTTCGCATTCTACCACTGTTGGCCAGAATGCTGAGGTGAGGTTATTTGTCACATCACTCAGGTAAGGTTGTACCACTCGAGAGATTAATTTTGTATTACTTAACCCACCTATAGCATTGAAGTTGCTCCTATTTATACCCAACCAAACTCACTCACTTGCCTTCCCTTTATTTTCACTGTTCTGGATCTTTAAATCTTGTGTTTAGCACTATGCTTTTGCTTTAGGCTGGTGTGAGTGTGTTTTACAATCTATCAGTATCCTCAATTATTTTCCAGACTGTTCTTTGTTTTCTGAGATTGTGGAACATCAGAGAGGCAGTTGAGTGTTGGTTTGCTGTGCATCAGGTATGACAAGCATTTACTTCAGTATGGGTCTCTTGCCTCTGGTCTTTCCCTGTCCATATGGGGACATGGTTCAGCTAGGGTTCTTAACCCTTAAGATGTGATTATTGTCATGCATTGATCCCCAGGGTAATGTGGTAATCTTCATATTGTATTGTTTAATGTTAGGGTATTTATGCTCTGTCCTAGTGCAGTCATATGTCTCCAGATTTCTAGACAGACTCAGGTTCTCTCTTCCTTCATCTTTGCAACATTGTGTCTGAATTAAGGTCCATATCTCTTAGCTGTTTCACAGTGTGGTCAAGTTGAGCTAGCCTATCCTTGTGGTCATAACCTTCAGGAGTTCGTTTCTTTCGAGGTCTTAACTATGCAGTTGAAGCTTCACCTTCATTAAGATCCACCTCCTCACTCGATTAACTCCACCATACTCGCCTAGACATTCCAATATTGTATGTGGAGCAACACCTAAATTCTTAGTGAGTATTCATATTCAGTGCTTTTTTATATTAAGAAACCTGCATTGTTATTTATTTTAGGAATATAATAAATAAATTGCAGAATTGAGAGAGGACATCACTGTATCTTGATCACTACTATGTAACGTGTCGGCTTTATGTCCTGAGGTGTCCTAACTTTAGGATTGTGCCTGTGCTTTATCATGATTGTATCCACTAGAACATTCATTGTTTTTCCTTAGGAAGCATCCAAACAGCTTGTTTAAATTGTAACTTTAATTATCCATTCAAATCCAAATTTTTTTGTAGTTGCTGAATTGTACTGTGATATGAACTAAAATATTAATTACCATTTTGAGATACAGAACTGCTAAAGCTTAAAATAATTAAATTTTCTTTTAATATTTTGTTTTACATGTAATATAAAATCTAATTGTCTGATGAAATATTTTCAGATTCGTTCCAAAGATTCAAAAAGGCTCAATATGAGCTCTCATCATCATCATCATCATCATGAACTACAGCAACAACAGCAGCAGCATCACCAGCATCAACTCCATCAAAATCCACATCATTCACAGCATGGATCACAGGAAACACTTGCTCAGCTTGCAACAGGAGCAACCAGCATTGATCAAAATTCAGGAATCATTCATAATAATGAACAGATCCTTTATACATGTCCTAGTTTAGGAAATACATCATCACATATAGGTAACCATGCATCTCAAGGCACTCAGGTGTTGATGCCTACGCATGTTCCTTCTTCCAGTGCTGAGTACCAGTCATTACCTCAGAGACCACATACACAAATCTCACAAGGAACATCTACACCTGTGTATGTTTGGGCATATACTGTGGTACAGCCACAACAAGGATCATCACAGCATCAACCTCAGCAGTTGTCTCTTGTTCATGACCAGCCAGTACAACAAGCAGTAACCCAACATGCACAGCAACAGTTGTCATTGGTCCACCAGCAGACATCTCAGCAAGAGACATCTCCTCAGCATCAGCAGTTGTCGTTAGTCCACCAGCAGTCATCTCAGCAAGAGGCATCCCCACAGCATCAGCAGTTGTCATCATTGATCCACCAGCAGCCATCACAGCAAGAGGCATCCCCACAGCATCAGCAGTTGTCATTGGTCCACCAGCAACCATCTCAGCAAGAGGCATCCCCACAGCATCAGCAGTTGTCATTGGTCCACCAGCAATCATCTCAGCAAGAGGCATCCCCACAGCATCAGCAGTTGTCATTGATCCACCAGCAATCATCTCAGCAAGAGGCATCCCCACAGCATCAGCAGTTGTCATTGGTCCACCAGCAGTCATCTCAGCAAGAGGCATCTCCACAGCATCAGCAGTTGTCATTGGTCCACCAGCAGTCATCTCAGCAAGAGGCATCCCCACAGCTTCGCCAGTTGTCATTGGTTCACCAGCAATCATCTCAGCAAGAGGCATCCCCACAGCATCAGCAGTTGTCATTGATCCACCAGCAGCCATCACAGCAAGAGGCATCCCCACAGCATCAACAGTTGTCATTGGTCCACCAGCAGTCTTCTCAGCAAGAGGCATCTCCACAGCATCAGCAGTTGTCATTGGTCCACCAGCAATCATCTCAGCATGAAGCATCCCCACAGCAACAGCAGTTGTCTGTTGCTCATCAGCAGTCATCTCAGCCAGGTACACCCCAGCCACATCAGCAGTTGACCAATGCTCACCAACAATCAGGACAACAATCAACAGCTCAACAGCTTGTGGGGGAAATTCTCCAGCATATAATCTCATATAATAATAAAGTACATAATTGATTTAAATAAAAAGTAGATTAAATAAAGATTAAAACATTGCCAACGTTATTTTACATTAGAATAACGCACTTCAGGTATCAAATGATGGTTTTCTGCTGTGGTTATGATTGGAGCAAAGTTTTGTTAGATAAATAAGATATATCTAGATGATATTCAGTTTGTGACTTTTTACCCAGCTGGAATCAGCTGATCGCAGCCGGGAAAACTTTATCTAGAAACAGATATATAATTTGATCTACTGAATTAAATCAATTTCCAATCGATATTACCTAGTAAATTAAACAAGGTTAGACTGGGTTTAAATCGGTTTATTTATACAGTACTGTATATAGTTTATTCTCGTGGAAGCCGGTCGGCTGATGCAATAACGGCATCGATATTAGTGAATACTGTATTTGGTTGTTCTAAGCAACTGGTAAGTACAGTAGTGTTAGTAAATTTGATTTCTTAGCACAATAATCGTCTGATCTTACAGTACTAGAATTGATCTTATCGTACTAGGGGTTTGTATTTGGGTGTCGGAAATTTCCGACACAGCTTTCTGTTATCAATCAGCAGAGTCCTCAGCAGCTGTCACCACAACAGGGGTTTCTGCTCCTTTAGTCCTGGTAGTCGTTTTTTTCAGTTGCAGCGTTCTTCTTTTCTGGCGAAGAATGAGACGGCTGTTTTCTAGAGGGGGTCCTTGGGTCATTGATGTTTGGTTGGTCAGGCCAGGTGTGCATCATGTCTTGTGTCCGGTTGCGGCTCTTCACTCTTACCTGCGTGCTTCGTCTTCTGCGGCCGGGGATGCGCTTGGGTTGATCCGGTTCCCTCGTTCCCTGTTCCAGGGTTCGGGTCTCTCAGGTTGTCCGCAAGGTAGTTCAGGTTAGCCAGCCTGTGGTCTATCCTCATGCCCATGATGTTAGAAATTTTGCTGCGATGGCTGCCATGTTTGGCAACATGTCTTGGGCTGATATTCGGGTATGCAAATTTTGGAGGTCAAACAGGGTCCTGGTCGCCCGATATTTGGTTAACGTTCCTGGGCGTTCTTGTGTTGCTTTTGGGTTGCAGGTTGCAGCCTGTTGTCTCGACTTTGAGTTGAGGGGTGTGTGGCGGGCGTCTCCCGATTACATCCCTCTTTTCCTTATCTTTGGTTATGTAGCTCCAGAGGGTCGAAGGAGCTCCCTATAGAAAACCAGTGTTAAATGTAATGAAACACCATTTTCTGGGTGAGCCCCGGAGGCTCTCTGGCACCCCTCCCTCCCTCCCTCCCTCCCTCTGGTCGGCGGTTTTCGCATTTTTTTATGCTTAGCGTCCGAACTGGTGTTGCTAGGTAGGCAGCACGGGGGAAGAGGGGTCCGGGGCTCCCTCCTCCCGCTCCCAGGGAGGGAAGGGCTGCATGGACAAGCGGCGCAATGGTGTGTGATGTTAGTTTATTTGCTGGTTTCCTTCGGAATTGAGGGAGTTCTGCCTCTGTTTGGTTTTCGGTTGCAATTTTCTTACCATGTGGGGTCTGCTTTGTTATGCCTACCTTTCTGGGTGCCTAACCGCATTCGATGGCAGTTGAGGAAACTCCCCAACCACCGGGCGGTTTTCCAGGGCCATTGCTCCCTGTGCCTCTCTGAGGGGACCAGGTTTTGGCTCATGGTCCCCAGATAGACCGAACTCCATTAACTAAAGCCCTGGTCTTGTGTATCTCATATTAGCTTGATAGCTCTAGGGAGCCTCCGGGGCTCACCCAGAAAATAGCGTTTCATTACATTCAATGCTGGTTTTTTTAATTTGAAGAGATTATAAAAAAAGTTGAACACTGTTTCAACTTCCTGAGGAATTTCTTAATACAGTACAAATAGTTCTTGATTCAGTAAGGAAATTGATAGTTTAAATTAGGCTCTACTAATACAAGAGCCAGTTTTTTTCCTGTCTCCCATAATATATTTTCCAGAAATAACCATTGGCAAGCAATGTAGTTTACAGTATAGCAGTTCAGTAGTTTATCTTCTATGTTTTCATTTAAAACTTTTTTTTTTATTTTCAGGTCATTGGTAAGAGAGCAGCAAGACGAAACATTGCATAGTCACTCTGCATTATATAAGCATTATAAGAACTCTGGAAGTACAGTACAATTATGTAATGTTGACATTTGTTTACACTATATTTCAAATTTCATTTAAAAAAGTTACCCTCTCTCTCTCACTCACTCACTCATTCTCACTCACTCACATTCTCACTTACTCACATTCTCATTCACTCATATTCTCTCTCACTCACATTCTCACTAACTCATATTCTCACTCCCGCACTCACTCAATTAAATTAAATCATTTTTTAAGCTGGTCCCAACAACTTTGACTGGTCGGTGCAACGATGGCCTCGCTTCTTGCAGTTTGGTGTTCAATCTCCAATTGTCCAAGTGTTTAGGTCCCATCCCTTCATTCATTCCTAACCCAGATCCTTGTATTCATATCCCTCCCAAGTGCTATGTAGTTGTACTGGCTTAGTGCTTTCTCTTGATAATTACCTTATTATTTAAGCTCTGCACATCATCCTGGGACCTGATAATGTGTGTGTGGGTAGCCAGAATGCACTTCTTGGCCTACTATGCAAGGCCCAATTTGCCTAATAGGCAAAGTGATTTTTTTTTATTTTCGATAAATTTCTTCCAATTAGTTTACAGTACGCTGTATTTTAATTATTATTATTATATTATATTAGGAACATAAATTATTGATGTAGTTGTGTTAGTTTAGGTTAGGTTTAGATAGGTTTGGTTAGGTTAGGTAGGGTTGGTCGGGTTTGGTCATATATCAATGTTAGTTTTAACTCAAATTTAACCCTTAACATGCTAGGGGTATAATATCCTTTCTTCCCCACAGGCGCATGTAATTTTGAAAAAAAAAAAAATATTTTTTCTTCCTAACCTGTTAATTTGTGTTCACTGATCATGGGAAAAATAATAAAAAAAATCGTAAGTGGCATATATTGCCCGCTATAGGGCTGGGAAGTCTGGCAAAAAATAGGCGCTGACTCAGCGTGCGTCCCAGGCGGTCTATTGCTCGCCAACTGTCAGGCCGGAGTTGCCACAAAGAGATAATTACCTAATTATTTCAATGTCTCTGATTGATTTTTCATAGTTTTTTGCTGTAATATTATTCAATAGTGTGTAGTTTGATATATTTATATAATAAAATGAGTGAATCATTGCTGTACTCAAAAATATGGTGTGCATATTGTTGATTCAATTATGTTCATCAATCAGTGAACAAATACTTTGTCGGTTATTACACTATAAGCACAGGTCATATATAAGTATCTGCATGTTTTGTTCACTATAACGAACCACTAAGTAGCTATTATGAGTCAAAAAGTAACGAGGAGTGACCGCCATGTACCAGCCAGCCACTCCCACCCTCCCTCAAGTCATCTGACTCACCCATATTCTCCTCCCACAATACTGTTTTTGCTATAATACACTATATACAGACGTTATATATAAGTATCTACATGCTTTGTTTACCATAACTGTACATCTAAGCTTGTATGGTGAATAAAGGCACAAAGATGTAGGACCTCACACAGTCAGCTGATGGCTGCCACCCTCAAGGCCAGACACACTAATATTTCTCCTCCAACAATACTGTGTGGTGTTATTACGCTATATACACACAATATATATAAATATCTACCTGTTTTATTCACCATACTTGTACAAATAACTGTTATAGTGCCCAAAGACCATCGTGGTAACCAGTAAACAACACCGTCGTCTGCACGGTGTCGTCGTGCAGACGACGGCACCACCCTCAACAAAATGGCGGCTCCCAACCTTCTCTTGCTGTTTATACCCTCTATACACACGTTATATATAAGTACAGTATCTACATTTGTGTTCACCATAGCGAACCACTAAGCTGGTATGATGAGTGCAGTCAATAAAAGGTGGCCACACACAGTCAGAAGACATCGCCACCACCCTCCCTCCCACAGCATTACTCCTCCCTCCATGGCACACAGTGCTAAATATCACCACAATCCTGCTATTATCAGAACCCTGGTCAGTTTTATCACAGTCAGGAATCTTCTGTAATAATATCATCGCTACATAATAGCATGATCAAGTATATTTTGGCATTTTTAGGCGATGCTGTGGTCACAAGCTGAACAGCAGTGCTGTTAGCTCATGCTGCGTGCATCAGGCTTGGTTGTTCACTCAATACTGAGGCCAATAACACCCGGGAGTTTGGCCCACGAATTTTTTTAAAAATAGCGTCTGTTTACAAGAGCCCTGATGAAGGTGTGGTGAACCCCGTGTATCCGCGGGCCGTTTAAATCTTGCGTAGTACTCCCAACACGTCATATGACGTGATGCGCAGTTGACTGGAACAACGTCCAACACGTCATATGACGTGATGCGCAGTTTAAGGGTTAAACAAATTAACTTATACATAATGAAATAGCCAGATATATCATTTCATAAGAAAAAAAAATAGAAAAATATATAAATTCAGGAAAATTTGGCTTATTAGGCAAATATGGCCATGCATAATAGGCCGAGTACGATGTTCTGGCTACTAGGTACAACATACATATATATATATATATATATATATATATATATATATATATATATATATATATATATATATATATATATATATATATAATATACACACAGTATATATATATATACTGTATCTATCTTCCCCCATCCCCCTCTGAACACTGGGGAGCTTAACAATTCTGGTAAAGCATTGAAGACAGTGCTTCTCCAGACAGCCAACTTATTCCCACCGTTGTGCTTCCATTGTGTACTGTTACTAGCTAAGCTACCTAGCTAGTAACAATACTTTGCTAGTATTAGCTAATACTTTAGATTAGACATATTTTACAAAATGAAACTGTATTTATTATAAATCGAGAGTCAACTTAGCCTTTAGTATAATTAATAAATTATTTTTTTTATCATGTTGTTGCTTTCCAATATTAAAGTTGGTTAGAATTTTGTATTTAAATATTTGTGCAAGCCTGAAAATTTGTGTTATGATACAACAAATACTTTGTACAGGTCTCCTACATGGATAAGACAATCCTGAAGCCAAGTAGGGTTGACTGAATGTTTCTCTTGGTTGTCTGTCTGGGTTAATTTAATGTACAATATGGGATTCAGCCTAGTTTAGATCATGAGCAGTTTTGGATCACCTGGCAATAATCATACAGTATTTTAAAAATGGAAGGAAGGTCAAAATTCCTAGTCACATAAATTTTGTATAAAAGTCAGTGTTTATAAGACGTGTTATAAACATTTGATGAAGATAGGTAAAAGGTCTTTGGTGAATCTCATGCTCATATAAACAGGTTACCGCATCATCTGAACAGGTACTCGCACGAGGTGGTGTTTGGACTGGCTCAGGATTTGTTCACATCACACAGTGATTTGAATGACTTAATTTGGGATAAGTGGATTTACTAGGTACAGTATCATGTTACAAATTTTGACTGAGTAAACTCTGGGATTGAAAGTTGTCATCCTGAGCTTTGCAAACTAACTGCTTTAAGAATGCTGCTGATTTTTCATTTTATACGTTTCCAACAAAGACTTACTATACTATTGCGTATACATATACAATTTGTTAACATTGTTTCATGAGTTTTTTGGGGGGAGCCCCTTCGGCTCCCCGGAGCTATCCAGGCTAATATGTATATCATTAGACTTTGGCATTA